CTCAAGCAATTCTCTTGCCTCAGCCTCCCAAGTAGCTGGGCCTACAGGCACCCACCACAACACCTGGCTGTTTTTTAAAGACGGGGTCTTGCTCTTACTCAGGCTGGTCTCGAACTCCGCCCACCTTGGCCTCCCAGAGTGCTGGGATTACAGGTACGAGCCACCGTGCCCTGTCAAATCTTATTCTTCTAGGAAGTGCCACCTACTACAACAACCCCCCGGCCATGAAAACTCACTCAGGAACATCACCTCCTCTCCCTTCATGCTCTTCACATACCTCCCATACCCCATTACATCTCTGCCAGAGGATTAGCAACAACATCTAGCACAATCTTTTATGAAATCTTGGACATGGAAAATCTTCACTCAAGAAGATGTGTCATTTCCAGAAATTGAAGGTTATTTAGAACTGTGTCTATGAATAAGGTCAATGACCAAGACAGATAGAGCTCTGGGGCTGAGACCTATATCCCAGTGGCTTATAAAGAAGCTCTGTTGCGTCCGGGATTCAGGAAGTATTTTGTGGAGTTCTGGATTAAGATGGTAGATTAAACAAGTACATTTAATTTTGCTTATTCCCTGTGAATTTAAAAGAAGACCCTCCCCCCAAAGAAAATACCCACCACAATGGGGAGCACAACAAGTAGACAGCAGCAATACAACTGCGGAACTGAAAAGTAGATGAAATGGCAACTGAATAGATCCAGGAAAATTGGATCCTCACCCAGCCGTGGGCAAAGCTGAGAAACAACCCAATTTATGTTACTAAATCATCAAAAGGCTCAGAATCTGGCAGCAAAGGAAACCTCTGGTCAGGGAGTTAAAGCAGGCAGGCTGGACTAGTAAGAACTGGGGGAAAGCTGTTCCTAGCAGATGCCCCTCCAGGCTCTCCCCCTGTTCCCCAGGCTCTAAGTTGATAAGCCCCCCTTCCATGTGCTCAGAGATGTCAGTCTCCCAGCCTTCTGATTTCCCACTATTAAAACGTTAGCAGACTAGACCACCAGACATTTGAGGAAAAGGTTTTAACAGGGATTACAGAAACCAAAATAGATGGGGGTGGAGGTTGTATGCCATGCTAAGGAAATAGGTATGGAGAAGAAAACTAAAAAAACCCCAAACAAACAAAAATAAAACCTACCATTAATACTACCAGAGAGGTTAAGATATTGCAGCAGTTATAAAAGAAATAACCAGAAAAAAAGTCAAAATAAGTTTATCCTTTTTAATTTTGTGCCATGAAAACTTATCAATTAGTCAAAGAAATAAAAAATAAACATAATTATAAACAAAACATAAATTTCCCACCCCAAAGAAAAACAACATTTTATGAAATGGCTATATGCCACTTAAAATAGTGAAATATACTAACATATCTTTTAAGAAGAAAAATAAGTGAAACAACTATTTTTATAGACGCTTTTTTTTTAGTAGACGCTTCTTAAGAAAAACTACCACGTATAATTGTTATCAGTCACTATCATAAATTGAAAAACAATTTGAATATTTTCTTATGTTCACTGAAGAAAATTTAGACAATAGATCAGTGCTATTTGCTTGATGAGTTAAAAAATATGGGGAAAAAATAATAGACAATAGAGCTGGACAAGGTGGCTCACACCTGTAATCCTAGCACTCTGGGAGGCCAAGACAGGTGGCTTGAGATTAGGAGTTCAAGACCAGCCTGAGCAAGAGCAAGGCCCTATCTCTACTAAAAATAGAAAAATTAGCTGGGCACTGTAGGAGCCTGTAGTCTTAGCTACTTTGGAGGTTGAGGTAGGAGGATCACCTAAGCCCAGGAATTTCTAGGAATTTGAGGTTGCTATGTGCTGTGATGCCAGAGCACCTTACCCAGGGCAACAGAGTAAGACTGCCTCAAAAAAAAAAAAAAAAAGAAAGAAAGAAAGAAAGAACATTTAGACAATATAAATAAGCAGAAAAATGCTTTAAGATCACCCACATTCTCCTCACTGGAAAAAAAAATTACTGTTAACATTGGTATATAGGCTTCTAGTCGTTTGTCTGTGAATATGTATGAATGTACAGTTTTGTTTTTTGTTTTTTTTTTTTTTTTTTGAGACAGAGCCTCAAGCTGTCCCCCTGGGTAGAGTGCCGTGGCATTACAGCTCACAGCAACCTCCAACTCCTGGGCTCAAGCGAGTCTCCTGCCTCTGCCTCCCAAGTAGCTGGGACCACAGGCGCCCGCCACAACGCCCGGCTATTTTTTGGTTGCAGCCGTCATTGTTGTTTTGGTGGGTCCGGGCTGGGGATTCGAACCCACCACCTTAGGTGTACGTGGCTGGCGCCTTAGCCCGGTGAGCTATAGGCGCCGAGCCATGAATGTACAGTTTTAAAAACAAAAATGAAATTGTACTGCCAAATTTTAAAACAATTTTGCTCTAGAATGTTTTCCAAACCAAAATATG